ATATCGTCTTAGGAGTCCTGTATAGACATGTCACATGTCTGCATGTGACCATTTAAATATCACGTTAAAAGAGCCAGCCTGACGCCAGACCGGTCTGACAATTGCCAGCGAAAAGAAACGGACGCAAATCTACAACGCGGGAACTATGTTCTAGGAAAAGGGTCAGCGAAAGTCGGCAGATTGGTGCCAGGGACTGGATACTGATACCTGTGAGCAACTCCACACGGGAACTCTAACGAACGCCCGCCCCGATAACATCTATTTTTACTGCACTTTTGTTTTCAATAAATTTATTTACCGTTGAGAGAAAGTTTCATTTTTGCTGCACACCAAAAGCAACCCTCAGATACCTTTTGCATGCCTAGATTTTTGGCATCAGAGAACATTGTTTGGCTCATCTGATAAGATTTTCTAAAACAAATTTTTTGAATTTGATTGAATTAGCTCAATAAAAAAGCTATGTTACTGTATGGATGTAAAATTTGATATAAAAACCTTTATATTAATGTATATAAGTTTTGTTAAATGAAATACATACATTTTTGTATGAAAATAGATTTCGTTAAAATTTAATGTATTCCTGAGTCCTTTTTTGTGTAAATTTTGTATTTCAAAATACCTAAAAATAATTTCATGGCATCAGATAACCTATCCTAAATACAAGCTTAAGGATCAAAGAGTAATGTATTAACATAAATAATCTATTTCGGGGTAAACTATAGACCAAATACCTACGTCAATATAGATTTAAGAATCCAATAAGAAACCGAAAATAATAAGATTTTGTTATGTTAAACCATATTTTTATGTACAAAATAAATACGTACATATAGTGCTTTCGAAAAGTAACGAATAAATTCATTATTTTTTAAATTGAGAAGTTTTCGAAAAAATCCCCTGGCACGTCGATTTTGTTTTTAAAAAAGGTACTTTTTGACATACGACCCATATTTGTGACGTCATCCTTGTTCGAGATATGACGTCATCGACAATTTTTTTAAATAGCAACCCCCAATTTTGACCATGCCATTTGAAAGAGCGTGTCATTCTACATACGCATCGTCAAAAATCATGGTTGCCTGACAGTAGCCTTAGCGACCGAGAATGTTTTTTATTGCTGTCAGATAAAAACTTGAAATCGTACTTTATTAAATAGTTTTTTTCGTTTTTTGAGTTATTTCTTTAGTTCTTATCTTTTGTTTGGCAAAAGCAGTGCGTTTGAAGTGTTTATTGAGTAGTAACTTTGTCATTTTATAAAAAAAATGGTTAAATTAACTGAACGAGAACGAATTGAAATTCTTTGCATGATCGGATTTGGAGACAGGATGCGCACCCAAAAAGAAGTAGTTGAATTGTTCAATGAAACTCATCCTGATCGACATCCCATTAGCCAAAGCATGGTAAGCAATATTGAGTCTAAATACCGTAACTTTGGACATGTTCGTGATCTTCCTAAATCTGGTCGACCGTCAAAATCAGTAGATGATGAGCTTAATGTTTTGTTGGCAATACAAGAAAATCATCACTCAACACTTAACCAATTGGCTTCTGATTTCAATATGGCAGCGTCCACAGTTCACAAAATTATGAAAAAAGCAAAGTATCATCCTTATAAGGTATGCCTTGTTCATGAGCTATCTGAAGACGACTTTGATCGGCGAAATCAATTCTGCGAGCAAATGCAAGAGCTATGCAATAATGATAATAATTTCGTAAAAAACGTAATTTTTTCTGACGAGGCTACGTTTGTTTTGAACGGCCATGTCAATAGGCAAAACTGCCGTTATTGGGCTACCGAGAATCCCCGATGGATGATGGAGTATCACACTCAAAGTCCCCAGAAAGTAAATGTGTGGTGCGGCATAGTCGACGGAAGAATTCTGGGTCCCTATTTCTTTGACGTCAACCTAACTGGTGCAAGATATTTGGATTTTCTTCGAGACGACCTCATTCCTGAACTAATAACTTTATATCCAGATATAGAGGGACATGATCTTCCAAGAAATGACATTTTCTTTCAACAAGATGGTGCACCTCCCCATTATGCAACACCTGTCCGTGCTTATTTAGATGAGCTGTTCCCGAATCGTTGGATAGGGAGAAGGGGGCCGATTGAGTGGCCAGCCAGATCGCCTGATTTGACACCCCTAGATTATTTCTTGTGGGGATACTTAAAAAGCAAAGTATACGTTACTAGACCGGTTAATTTAGAAGATTTAAAAGCAAGAATTCGTCACGAGATACATCGTATACCTCCTGAAGTTATTGATAATGTCCAAAAAGAATTTATTAATCGTCTTGGCTACTGTCAGGCAGCCAACGGTGCACAATTTGAACATTTAATTTAGTCGATTTTTACATAATCATTATCATTTTCAGTATTGTGAAAATTAAATTTTAAAATCTTCAAACATTATTTTCTTGAAATTTTTGTTATGTAACACCATAATTTTTCATGATCTGTGTATGTAGAATGACACGCTCTTTCAAATGGCATGGTCAAAATTGGGGGTTGCTATTTAAAAAAATTGTCGATGACGTCATATCTCGAACAACGATGACGTCACAAATATGGGTCGTATGTCAAAAAGTACCTTTTTTAAAAACAAAATCGACGTGCCAGGGGATTTTTTCGAAAACTTCTCAATTTAAAAAAATAATGAATTTATTCGTTACTTTTCGAAAGCACTGTATATGAAATCTATATTTACTTCTACGTAGCTTCTTTTATTATTTATATGTATTAATTTCCAAAATTATTTCGTAAACTGTACCAAAAGTTAACAATAAACTGTCAACAAAGTATTACAGAAACATTCACAGAAAATAGTATCGTAATTTTATGTAGCTCGTCCAGTGCTGTGTTAAACCATATTTAATTATCAAATAAATATAGATAACGAAGAAATCTACATTTATTTCTACATAGATTTCCTTTAACCATTCATATGTATTAAATTTCCAAATTACGTATTTCAAAATAGTACAAAATATTAACAATAAATTCACAGTGAATAGTGTCGTAATTTTATAGTGTACTTGTAGCTCGTCTAGATCAGACAATTTGGTTATACCAAGATCTAACATGGAACAAATTAAACTGTAACAATTTTTTTTTATAAAAACGCCGAGACAGGTCGATTTTATTTTGTTTTTTTGCCGTGTTTTGCGTGCATCCGATTTTCTACAGGGTGATTCTAAAATCCTGAATGATTTTTTTTAATGGAACACCCTGTATATTTCTACAGATTTGGATATAACGTTATCTCACGAATACAGTACTTACTGTAGATATTGATTAGTCTATCTTTAATAATAACGAAGATATAACCAAGAGTGCTCAAACAGGGTCGGATTGAACCTTAAGTCTATAGTTTCAAGATCTTTAGACAATTTTTTTTTGAGTTACGGTTATCGAGCAATCGTCAGTTCGAGATCAATATTTCGAGAAAAAATTTTTCCAAATTATTATTTTTAGGATTGTTTATGAAGTCAGGAAAATTTTTTCAATCTCAGGCAATACAGAGGAGTTAGCTTATTTATTCACCTTCAATTTTATTTTTGAAAGGGCTTCGTGCGACTGTTGGTTGTCGACATATCGATGATTGAATGAAAAATAACACTTTTGTCTTTAATCCTGCAAGAAATTGTTGCAGAGTAAATCCAAGGGCAGTTTTGAAAACTTGAACATTTTTCTACAAGCACTCGTCACAGTTATCGAAGAAAATCATCCTTGATATCAATTTGAAAAAGTTAAAAAAATTATTTCTTACAGTGTTTTAGAAACTGTATCGCTAATTTACAAATATTTATGGAAAAAAAAGAATGTTTATGAAAAGACTAATGTTACTAATAAACCGTACAAAGTCATTTTTTGCACATTTTTAAAACTGATGTCAAGGATGAAACCAGTTTTTTTTCTTCGAAAACCATGGCAGACAATTTATTCAAGTTTTCAAAACTACCCTTGCATTTACCGTGCAATAATCTCTTGCAGAGATATCGATGATTAAAACACAAGGTGGCCATATCCCTGGCCGAGAAATGGTGAAATTTCTGGCATTTTTAGGTACTGAAATCTTGAAAAGTAACTGGCATAAAGTAACTAGACTTAAAGTTTCAAAATGCTTTTTTTAAATCTCGATACCACCATTTTTCACTGAGATATAACCTTTCGAAAACCATTAAAAAGGTCACAAACATTTTTTGTTCCTTCAAATTTTTCCAGTTGTGTATTATACGTTTGCTCTGATATTCACGTTTCCTTTATTTTGTCATTTTTCTCTTCATATTTACGAATTTCAACTAACCAAAGCTTACTTTTTCCAGTTCTCAAAATGCAATAAACGTATTTCATTTTCCTACCGGTTTGCGGTCAACAGCGGAATATCACCAAAATTTTATTGAATTAGAAATATGTAGGTAGGTTTCAATCACAGGCCGACAAAACTTCAAAAAAGGAAAAACCCAGGAAGCAGACAATACGTCACCGAAGGTGTTTGATGCGCTGAATCCGAATCTGGCCTCAGAATTGACCCATCGCTCTAGGTTTCTAATAGCTGTTTTACATTGACAATTTATTGATCAATTAATTCATTAAGTCGCTTCATCAAGAAATTGGACAAGTGTAATGCACCAAATATGCTGTCAAATAACTTCATCAATTTAGTAGTAATTGTAGTAGTAATTCTCAATTAACGATATCTTGGCGAAAAATTTTTTCAAATCGAAAGAATGGTTTTGAAGGCTAAAGATTCTACTTTTCATTGATTGATTTTTAGAAAAAAAAATGTATTTGCGATGTCATATAACCGTGAAAATAGCAAAAAAACATGGTTTTTACACATTTAGGTTAGAATATCTCGGAAACCTAGGGTGATGGGTCAATTCTGAGGCCAGATTCGGGTTCAGCGCGTCAAAAACATGCGTGTCTGCTTTCTGGGACTTTTCCTTGTTTTTTTTAACATAAAAACATGATAAAACAGTGTTTAAAGACTTACCGTCGAATGGCGCCAGTAAGTAATAAGGTCTTGGATGTTATTGCTCGGGGCAAGCAGTAAAAAATCCCGCCACTCATCATAACTAATATTCAAACTTCCATCTTGATCCATTCTGTAGAAAAAGGAAAATACACAAAACAATTATTTTCATTAAATTACATTTACAACAATATTACAAAATGTCATCTGCTATAACACGTTATGGTTACAGCAAAAGAAAAGGAAATAAAAGACGAAGAGATTTATGGAAGCAAAAATGTTATTTAGGGTATCACACTATTCTACATTAATCTTTCAATAATACGGTGTAGGCAATTTAGCTGGTCTAGTATCCCTTGTCCTTTTTTTTACTTTTATGCAATAAGCAATAAAGATAGTTTAGAGTACGGCTGCTCAACCTGTCGATCATCGTCACAAGCAATATCGAATTTAACAATGATCAGTGTCGATTAAAACCCCCTAAAACAACGCATCGGATTATACGAGTTACATTCTTCCGTCATCGATATCACGGTTGGAATTTTGTCAGCGCGAACTTATCGAGAAGTAGACCACGCTTGCTTTAAAGCAGTCGTGGCATCTAGTAGGCAGTGGAAAATCCTTGGGTAATGGATATGCTGTTGCAAGCTAAGTCTATGGGTTAAACTGAATTAGAAAATCATTATTATTTTTGCTTTTATACGAGGTGTAAACTTTAGGTAAGGTCAGTTTTTTCAGGGAAAAGGAACAGCGGTTTTAGATTACTGTAAATTGTAAAATCGGAAATCGGAAAATTTTATGTTGTAGGTAATTAAATTACCTACAACATAAAATGGGAGTAAAAAAAGTGAAAAAAGTCGTAAAGTCACTTATTTGCAATTTGCCAACTTAGCGTCACTTCTTTCGAGTTACTTTTTTGATATTATCATTCTACATGCCATCCCCGTCATAAAGTGGAATAAAAAGTCTACTAATAATTTTTTCACGTTCAAACTCTAATTCGACTGGATTATAACTTAAAGGTTTATGGAACTTGGCACGTAAATAACCATTTACTTATTTTGCCCTGTCTCCTATTAAGTTTATCGTAATATCGTCCTTACGCTGCGTTTTGTATGTACGAAATAAATATACAGGTCCTAAGTACTATTAAGTGTTATAAAAATATTGATTGTCTAGAAAATATGAGTGGTAAAATGTATCTTTTTATTACGCATGGTAACTTTCTTGTACGAATGGTTACAGTAAACTAGACAACAAAAGGGGTAAAAATGTTTAGTAGTAGTACATACTACTTATCTCCTCTAGGAGAAAAAAAACGTAAAATAAAACATTTCAATTTTTGATTCGATTAAAGCTTACTTTGAACATGACTAGATCACATCGTCTTGAAATTGCACTGGTTCCTTGATTCAGCCGATTATGCCTTAATCCTGGGAATTTAAATTTCAATGGCTTTGAACTAAAAATTTCATCCTCAATGTCAACTCTCTACAGTGACACTTTGAAAGGATTTGGATTGACAGTTTTGACATATTTTGATAAAGGTATCTATGTATATTTATCTTGAAATGAAAAACGAATTTATTAATTTATACAAACAGAACACAAAATATAAAACCATTATATGTATCAACTTCATGAATTCGTTTCTTATGGGTAAAAAAGTATGTAACTGAATCAAAGACTTGCTGAGGAACGCAATATAGGGTCGCTAATATGTATGGAAACGGTCGATTATCTCCTAAAAAAGATAGCTATCGAAAAATCATGACACAAACGTTTTAGGGTTTTTTAAAATCTATTAAAATAAAAAAAATTAAGTATTCAGGATCAGTCGAAACGTCATGACGAAACAAAGTTGTTTTTATTTAATGGAACACCCTGTATATTATTTCATATTTGAATTCTTCTCGAAATTCTAAACAAAATTTATATAGCATATCATCATGTATCTAAACTTAACCGTTTTCGAGATATCGATCTTTGAAAACAATTTTCTTATGAATTATACAAAAATATTTTATTCCATTAAGTTATAATCCATCAAGTTACCTTTGTTCTTTTATCTACTAGTGATTACATTTAAAAATGGTTTTAATGATGGTGAAAGTTGTGGATATTTTTCATAAATTGCGTAGCGATCGGGAACGTATTTCTATTTCTATTGTTTTCTTTATTTTAATAGATTTTAAAAAACCCTAAAACGTTTGTCTTATGATTTTTCGATAGCTATCTTACTTTAGGAGATGATCGACCGTTGACATACATATCACCATATCAGCGACCCTATATAAATTGAAAGAAAACACAAAACAGATTTAATTTATTTATAGGTAAGAAATGGTATTTCCAAAATTACTGAAAAAGTAAGTGTGTGATTGTTAGGGCCGTCAGTACTGAGCAGCGGGACATAGGCGTACGCACTATTTATTAAGAAGCATAAACACCAACGGATAGGAAATAATTACGCAACATCCACACGATAACAAAGACAACAGTATACTATCGTGACGTGAACGTGAAAAGCATTCTGAGGCAGCGGCTCAGGCATGTCTCGGTTAACCCGGTTGGCACGCCATTGCATTGCTGTTCTCTCTGACAGCCTTAGTGATTATATAAATAAAATTCATATTAATATATGTTCTAAACATATCAATTTTTAAGGTACAAGATATTAAAATTTCTGAATAATGTAATGATTGATGTAAACCTACGAAAAGGCTAGCAATTTAACTAAGTTATGATTAAATTAACTGAATTTGTGTACAATTACGTCAACCAGTAGCAGAGATACTAAAAACCTCATAACTTCAGAATTAGATCGAGAGAAAAGTGGTTGTAGAAGTGATGTACGTAGTATTCGCAATATCGATGAGGTTAATTCCTGGAGGAACACTTTAAGGGTTCAATTATAAATTCGAAATTGAGTTTCTAAATAATCGAGTGCCGTATTCTTAAAGAAAAAATGTGAATAAGTTGAATACTCTTTCATGCCAATCTTTATTCTCATTAATGTAACTCCGACTGAAGTAGGTATTTATTTTATACCTACTGTTATTACAATTTTATATGCCGAGAGCATTAAAAAGGAATCATGTGAATGAATGCCGTATTGCACACAGCTTGAGATAAAAGGATTATGTATTTGGTGAATCCTAAGTATTCTTTCTGAAATGGTGTTCGCATGCCGTAAATATTATATCCCGGTGTAATGTTTGATAATATTGCATTCGTGTAATTATCACATAATTACACGAATGCAATGATTATGGAGGTTTTGAAAACACTAAATATGGTTGCACACCTTGGGAGTGATTTCCTCAAAATTGGTGGGTAATTGAGCAATTCCGACTTCGGATACGAGTTCAGCAATCAGTAGGTTTGGTCCGAGTGCAAGCCCCCTTTTTTTGCGTGCCTGTGTTGTTATTTTCGACTGCATAAGTATAAACCAAAATTTTTAAACAAACACGCAAAAAAATGCAGGGTTTTCGCGTCAAGTGAAGAAATAAGTCAGGGGTGAGACCACATCGACCAATCCTAGAGAAGTAGGCTGGATTCGTCAGCAAACAATGTTTAGGCAGAAAAATCAGGATTATTGTTGCAATCACCATTGACAAACAACGACGACATTGCTCTCGTTAGGGATAATTATTCAATTCGAAACAAAGTTTGAACTATAGCTGAATGTGATTGGGATACATTTTTGTTTGAAAACGTTCCTCGCAGTTTTTAGACTGCAACCGATCTGAACAGCAATTTTTCCAGAAATTCCTTAATAACTTGAAGAACGTCTTCAGTTCTAATGCTGTTATATTGCAGTTTATGTCAACGTAAATCTATAGCTGGTCTGAAAGCATTATACCATTAGCCAAACTATATACAAGATATGCATGTTTGTCATTCTTATATTTCAACATACAAACACAATTTAATCTACTATGTCGCAAAATCATTCACAACTAATAAAGTGACTTACTTAAGTAGAAGGAATGCCTGACTTGTTTTACCTAATTTTCTGTTTCTAAGTAAACTGTTTTCAATTTATCCTTTAAAGGCAATCGGCAAAAGCGCTTTAACTCAAGAACAAACAATCTATTATAAATTTGTAAGAGACAAAAAAGTTGCTAAAAGAAATGAACAATACAAATATATATATATATATATATATATATATATAGGTACCATAAAAGTCATTGACGGAACGCAAAAAAGAAAGCGAGGGAAACATATTTCTTAAAAATTTAATATACAAGGTGCACCATGGGAGCGGAAAGTTTTGAAAACGACGTATTTCCGAAAGTAACTTGTATTTAATTAAAACAAAGTATAGCAATAACAAGATAATTGTGTGCCATTTTTATTTCTTAAAAATTATGCCTATTAAAAGGTCTCCTCTTTTCTCCATATACTCTTGAAGCCGAACGTTGAAATTCTGCATAACACGACGCATACAACATATCCAACGGAATATTAGCAATTTCTTCCCAAATTTTCATTTTCAGCTCCGAATATCTCGTGGTTTGTCAATGCACACCTTGCTTTTTAGATAGCCCCACAAAAAGTAGTCACATGCCGTAAGATCTGGAGATCTTGGGGGTCACTTAATGTCTCCGTGTCTGGAGATAACATGATCTGGAAACAATCTTCGCACGGAATCCATTGATGCTCTTGCGGTATGTAAAGTAGCGCCATCTGTGGAAACATATTCAGTTGCTGTGTAAGGAACTGGTTAATTATGTCAGTATAGCGTGCAGAATTGACTGTTAAAGCATTTTCATTGTGATCCTCAAAAAAATAGGGACCTATGGTTCCTATTGAAGATATTGCGCACCATACTGTTACCTTGAGGCTGTGTAATGGCTGTTGATGAAGTTCTTGTGGACTTTCCAAAGCCCAATAACGGCTGTTTGGTTTATTGGTATAGCCAGATAAATGGAAATGTGCTTCATCATACATCCATAAATTGTGAACGCCAAGTTCATGCTGCAGTATCGTTTCAGTAAAATGTAGGCGAACAGGAAGATCTGTTGGTTTCAATGCTTGGACAATTTGGATTTTGTAAGGATGACAATTCAGATCCTTGTGTAAAATTATAAGAAAAGTAGTCCTAGATAAGCCCAAGGCCTGGCA